AAGGTTACTTACATTCTTGCTGTGTGAGATGGATGTTTGTGTTTCTTTGTGATGAAGCTTCAAGGTTGGAACCTTGCCATATATTTGTTGTACATGGAAAACTTGAGGTTAACAAGGCTTTGCATTTACATTAACAATATTAAACTAACCTTTAAGTTTTTGTGTGATTTGATTTTGCTTCTCCCTTCAATCTGTTATTTACTTCAATTGCAATGTGCCTACCTATTTTATTTCCTTTTCTGGAATTTACAAATTTGCTTTTTATATCTCCCTGTGAAATATTTTCTCTACCTGCATGTTTATTAAACATATTGTACTTCCAATGAAATATATGTTGTTCTTGTATTTGCTAAACTCAGTCCAGGGGTAAGCAGGTAGTCATGTACCAGGACTGAATTTGGTTCACGTCCTTGGGCCAGATCCGGATGTGCAGGCACGTAGCTTGTGGCACAAACATCTTTGCAGTGCCACAAACTGCATGTGTTACATGTTAAACTGTGTCCCATGCTGCTAATTTATAGCACTGAGGCAAAATTTGCTTCTGGGATTTACTGGTAGCAACCCCCTCCCCCTCAAATAAAGGCAGCTCAAAGCATGCCAAAGTACCATGTGCTGCGACAAATGCAGAGACAGGGGGCAGGCAGCCCAGGACTGCTTGCTCCCCCATCGCTGTGCACTGTGGAGCCCCAACACTGAGGCACCCTGTGCCCCAGCCAGCCAGGGAGCGACACCTGGTGAAGGGGGAGCAGCAGGTAGCCCAGAGCTGCTTACTCCCCTGTCTCCGTGTGCTGCACAGCCCCCGTCTCAAGACACCTGCACCCCAGCCAGCTGCTCACTGGCTTGCTGGGGTGCAGTGCGCCTCAAGATGGGCACTTCTCCACATGCCACTCTCCAGATGGTTGGGGCCAGCTGAGTAGCCCCATGCCGAGGCATCGTGTACCCTAGCCAGCCCCCCTGCAGCACATGCAGGAGTGGGACAATGTGCCCTGCTGCAAACTGCAAGAGCAGGGGCATGCACTGCAGCACAAAGTAGCAGCACAAATCTGTGCCACTGCTGTTTGTGTTGCTGCAAAGACATGGCCCTGCTCGGTAGACACGGCCTTTCTGTTTCTTTTGTCACGACTGTGACATCATTAACAGGGGATTATGACTTAAGATAAGGGAATCAGCAGCCAGAGCAGATAAGAATTCAAGTGAAAATCATTCTATTTTCTCTGAAAAAAGGAAGATAAATCAAACAAGTGAAGATAAACTAGTCTATCTAGAAATAAAAGTCTCCAGTATAAGAACTTTTTTTTTTTTTTTTTTTAAAGAAAGTTGATGGTAGAAAGAAATAAAGACCAATGGCTGTGAGGGGCAGCAAGCAATGCCAATGAAAAAAATATTTACACCTGACTGAGACAGGGACAGAACAGCTACGTGATACAGAGCTTGAAGGTTTAACTCAAATTGTAACTTCAGAGTTACCAGACACAAAACTGCTTAACTCAGATGTGATGGTGCTTTCACCTCCTGTTAACTGGCCCATCATAGGTTACCGCTACAGGTCAAGTATGAACAATTCATCACCTGTTAACATAAACACTCTGTCAAGTTTTCCATTTTACAGTTTAGCTACTTTCACCCAAGCTGAGCAGACTTGAGAGGTGTTAATTTGAGTTACCCACATTTATGTTAACTCTGCAGTGAAAACATAGCTAGAGTGACAAGACCTTTAGCCTACAGTGAACAGACTGAGACTATTAGCAGTCATGACTCAGTCTGCCTCCTCTTTTGCAAGGCTAAACCAAACAACATTCCAGTACAATTATATAATTAATTTTTACCACATCTTAAATTATATATGTCCAAGATTGTCCAATTTATGGAACACGGGTCCTGGTAGATGATAAAAATCTTTGGGGAGTGTCCACTAAGGGAGATTCCCAATGGACTGATTCTAAAGATGTGCTTCCGCTTGGAATTTCCAAGGGATTTCTTTTTCCTTAATTTCCAAGCCTACCTTCAAACAACTCTGCAGCACCTGCATCCCTTTCTGGCTTACTCTGCACTAGTAGTGGTGGAGTGATGGTTCAGGAAATATGTGAGGCAAGGATTTTTGGGATGATATATTTTATTGGACCAACCACGTTGTTTGGAGAGCTTTACAGCTTTCCCTCAGGTGGTATATTTCCTGGACCGTCATAGCTGCTCCATCACTCCAAAACTACCACAACGTGGAAGATATTGACATTTGGCACTTACAATGGAAAATCCACAACATAAAGAAAAAAGAAGCCAGACTGCATAGTGACATCTTCTTTCCAAGCTTGTGCGAGAAACATAATTTTGTAACATCATCTCCAGAGGACTTACCATCTGGCTAATGCACACAATTCCAACTATACAGCACAACTATGCAGAACCCCAGAAAAACTGGGAAACATTTTTTAGTTAACCTGCTCCATAAAGCAAAGGTTTCAAAGTTACTGGGGCCCCTGGGCTGGATGTGGATTCAGCAGCACTGGCAGCAGGGTAGGCAGTGGTCCTGTCAAGGTATGTGGCAGTCACAGCCATAGGAGTTGCCATCACTCACTCCCCACCGCCGACATGTGTCCCAACAGGGCTCTATACCCTGGATTTCAGCTGTAGGCCCTGCTCTTGCTTGCCCCACTCCTAAATTCCCAGACCCTCTGGGAGCCCTGGAGACCAGACAACTGAGCTGCAAGGGCTGGATCCAGTCTACAAGCCACATATTTGGCACCCCTACCATTAAGGATCAATTTAAACAGTACATACTTACTCAACTGAACAAAGAGATATAGCCCAGGCCTGAGGAAGAGCACCTTATGCCTGAACACTTATCTAAGATCTCTCCCAACTATAGTGTTGGTCCAATAAAAGATATCACCCCAAAAAACCCACTGCCTCCTACATGGCAGTATGCAGTTATGGCCCAATACAGTTTCCCATTTTTTTACATGCTGCAGGGGGACACAATCAGAGTGGATCCTGCTAATGGTGACCTTGCCTGGTGGAAAATTGTACCCTGCAAGAGCCTTCAATAACATTTGAATTGTGCATCCTGACTTAATAAGGAGGATATCCCTTTCCTTTGTAGCAAAAGTTCTTCCAGGGCCTTCTTCCTTCCTGTCATGATTAAGGTAAGGCCATAGACACGACCACAGCACAGTTGTAGTCATGGTGATTGAAGTACGAGTTGCTTCGGCTGGGTTTACTCTAGCAAATTTAGTGCCAGTTTTTCAGTCTTAGTGCAGACAGAGCCTTAGTATTGACAGCATGTCTTGAATTCCCCTGTCATCTGCCAGGACAAAGTGCTTAAGACCCCCAAACCCAGTCTATATGAGCATATCCACTGTCGTTAACAAAGGTACAGTTTCCTTAGAGCTGAAGAATGAGGACTATGGCTAGCATTTGCAAAACATTTTAATATTTGCATTGAGACACACCGCAGCATAAGTTCTGGGTGACATGGTTTGAATGGTTACTGGTTTTTCTACAAAATTAAAAAAAAGAATCCCCACTGAGAATAGCTAATTCTTTTTACTATGCATAGTCTAATTATCTGAGTCAAATTTAGGAATTAGATGGCAGTTAATTGGGTCAGTAGTAGGCACTTGAATAATCTGTAGTTTCCCCCATTTAATGAATTATTTTGCATTCTGGTGGCACTTAAACTGCACTAAATGCTCTGCACACCAATCAGCATGCAGTCAAAGGTCCCAGTCCTGCAAAGTACTTGACATGTCCTGAAATTTGAATGATAATGGGCAGGGCCATTGAATGGATAGGGCCCTGAGAAGATAAGCAATATGAAAAGGAAGGGGAGAGGGATACAATTAAAATACAGACAATTTTTATTTACCTTTGACCAGATTTATAGAAGCTGGCCTGAGATGCACGTGGGCTTTGTTACCACAACGGTAATCTGACAACAGGCTTCTCAACCTGCCCAGCAATTATTGACTACTGGCAGTGGAAGTTCACACGTATGCATATGGTCTAACAGGGTCTCTGATCTATTCTCTTCCCGTCCCTTATAAAAGGGGCAAAACATTTGCTGGCAAGATGGAAGCGCGACGACATCCTCTGTTAAGTGCAGAGGAAACCTCCGGTGGGATGGAAATGGGAGACTTGACAGCTTGGCATTTGCATAGGCTCGCCTCAGTAAAGAGCCAGGGATCCGGCTCGGATGAAATACAGGCCATCCCCATCCATCTGGTCGCCATCTGCCAGGAGAAGGGAAGGACGCGCAGCCCGGCAGAAGGAGCCGGCCCAGCCACCTCCTCCCACCCCTGGCTTGGGTCTCAGCGCACCCCTGAACTGTGGCCCGGCTTGGGCTGGGGCCCTCCTCGGCCTGGAGCTTGCGCTGCTCACCGGGACGCGTCCTAGGTACAGGGATGACCAGGGCAGCCCCCTGCGCGGGTGCGGTGCGCCTGAGGGCACTGAGCGGGACCTGGCGCCCCGGGCACTGGGGGCAGGGGCTGGGGACGCCCAGGCGAGGCGAGGCGAGGCGAGGCGAGGCGAGGCGGGAGCACAAAGG